TGTATTTAAATAACTTTAGATCCAACAGTCCAAAAAGCCCATAAACCCATCTATTTGGTATTACAGAACACATCACAACTTACAGCAGCGTATGCTTTAGATAATCAAAATTTAAAATCAGCTGCTTAAAAAAAAAGAAAATTATTTTTGTCTGTGTAACTGCATACAATTTAGAGCATTTTCAGATTCATGGCATAAAACTTTCTAATGTTCAAAACAACTAAAAATATGTATATTATGATTTGTTTAAAAAGCAATGATGTCGGATTTTTTTCCCTCAGCCCCTTGCTTTTTCTTTTTTTCTCCCTCACCATCCTTTTTCATTTGTGTCTTCAAATAACTCTTTGTTCACTTTGTTAGATATAAATAAAGGACATGGTCTCTCTCACTACAACTCTTTCAAATGACTACCTTCTGTGACGGCATTTCAAGACTAATATAATCTTATATCCAATACAAAAGATTTTTTGGGAAAACATTTTGAGTAATTAATCTAATGGTATTTCCATTAGAAGCAAATTCATAATTTCCTTTAATAAGACATAATTTTTCACCTAGGAAGCATACTTCAGCTTATGGAATGACTGATTATTAATGAGGAATGACTTGAGGAAGACAACATTGTTCCCAAATTTACTGTGTAATGAATACAGCAGTAAGTACAAAGCGTTCACAGAATTGACAGGTAATCTATGAAGAACACCAAAGAGTTGCAGGGTATTCTGAGCTTATAAACGAACTAAACACTACCGTAAGAGAAAACAAACACGAAAGTTGCTGAAATTCAAAGCATTTCTTTTTAGAGGTGTGTATAGCAACAGTCCTGTAAGTACAAGAGTTTAGGGGACGTGGATGACACCATCACGCCTTAGCGGCTGGGGGGGGGGCAGTGAAATGACTCTTTTCACACGAAAATCAGGACTGGAAATACACTGAGAAACACCATCCTAAAAAGGAGGGGAGAGAGAAGTCTACGACTCATTATTTCCTGCACAGACCGTTTTCCTAAATACAAAGTATTCTTTCCAGTTCTTCACCCCTCTGCTTTATTTAACCACAATATGAAGATCAGTGATCTACAACATATTGGAGCCACATTAGGAGATGGACGGGATTTTGGCAGCTCTCCCAAAATACACATGATCAGTTAAGGAAACTACACTGTTATATACTGCCACATAATGTTTCCAGATGAATTGATACCTTTACAGCCTAATTTAATCCCATTATTTGTACCCCATCTTCCATACTATTTGTGATCTCAATGTATAAAAATGCAGCTAGAAGCATGTAAAATACAGTGGATCATACACATTTCAAATGTACTTTGGAACAAATTATAGCCAATTCAGGAATGAAGTGGAATTAGCATTGAAATACTGCCACAATGTGCACATTGTCCCACACACCTAAATCGGTGGGCTTAAGCTGTCTTATTAGCAGAAGGAAACCTGTTTTTGAGCAGTATTTTCTCATACTTGAAGGACTGAAGATCTTGCCTAGCCCAGGAACCCAATTCTACAGGGTGGAATGGTTTTATTTTCTTCTTTTCTGAACTCCCAACTGAGACTGTGAAGAGGCAGGTACCACCTGTCCTAGGCTACTGTCCACTTAGAAGCAGATCTTTGGGGGGCACAACAGTGCAGTTAGGATGCAGACTGATCTTTGGGTCACCAGTCATGTAGATAAAAAGCCACCACTTTTAGAATACACACATATGATTCCTGACAGGTTACCTTATGTCAAGTCAAAGCAACCAGGATAACCCAGTCATAGCTTGGTTTTATCATATAGGTACCTCTTGAACCACAATAAGTTCCCAGACAGACTTGTGCAGAAGCCACAGTTAAGGTCAGAGGCTGGAGGCATCATGTGTTCTGGAGCAACTCAACTCACTCAGTGTCTCAGCTATTGCAGGTTGCCCTTACTCATGGATTTCTTTAACTATTAAAGTGTATTGCTCTAACATTCCCACCACCAGACATTATTTATGATGTAAGATTTTACTGGCAGCTCATCTATGCATGAAGAGTTCATATTTTACCCTTTAATACCCTCCTCAGGCTTAGGAGTACAAGACTGTGATCCCTGAGCCCCTCTGCGATGATGCACCGACAGTGCTCATCACCAAAGGAAAACCTGTTTTCAGCTTGTGCCACAACCCTTGCATTTATTTGTGATTAACAGATATGTTTTTTTTCTCCTCTGGGCTTCAGAAAGGAAAGCTCCCTGTTGGCCTTGTCCTGGCTGACCCTTTGCTGCAGTGAGAGAGAGAGGAAACTTCGCTTCTTCCCCAGCATCACCTCCTTCCCCAATGTCACTGGCAGGAAAAGCTGTCCAAGTGTGGGAAGGTGGGCAAAGAGCAGCACAAGACCAGGCAGGCAGTGAGCCTGCATGTTTCCAGAGAGGAGCACGGAGTTGACATGGTTCTACCTCTTGAGCAGGGGAAAGAGACTTTTTAGGAACCAGGAAGTTTGTTAGAGTGTTTGTTGCAAAACAGAAAACAACCAAGAGATGCTCGGTTGAAATCGAGATTGGGAAAAGGATCATCTTTGCAAAGACACACTGGACTGGGAGGAGATTTGTGTTCAAATCCTTTTATTTTTATTCCAAAGCAGACCTAAGTTCTTCCACAGCAAATGCTCACTGTTCTGGTCTGGTTTTCAGTGAAACATTGCTCAGAGGCGGTGCTCTTCTGGTGGTTCAGGTGCTCACTTAAAGGAAACAGGGGAAGATAAATTCTCCTCAAAGCTCTAGCTGAGTCACAGGCCTATCGCGTCAACTACCAGAAGGCTAGCTTCACTTGGAGGAAGAGACTTGCAACTTTTTTGAAGTGCACATTATTAATAATACCTTGCTTAACCTGTTTACTTCTTTGGAGACAGAACCATTTTTCAGGACTTCTGGAGGATTTAGAGGAGAGGGTGACCTATACGCTTAGCACTTCTAAAGTGGCTTTAACTTTGGGCGTTATAAAGCCTATTTACTATTATTTTCATGCCTGTTTTGGGTCTATTCTACAATCACAAAAAAATAGGAGTCATAAACAAATCAGAATAACTAAACATTTCTCAAGGAAGGAAAGAAGGTCAATGTGACGGAAGAAGCTGAAGGACTCTTTCTAATGGTCTCAATGGTATGCACAAAGTCTGAAGTAGAACTGTCCAATGATTTTTTTTAAACAAAAATTGCTATCTCACTATTACAGAAACACATGGATTAACATTCCAACCAAAGAAACAGAAAATTTCAACCAAGGGATTTTTGCTTATTTGGAGAATTTTGTAGCCACAAAAATAAAAGGGGAGCAAAATGAGGCCATTTCCAGACCAGGCATGCTGGAAGCTAACAACTGATCCTGTACTCATGAGTCATATAAGAACAAGGGTCTTTTTTTTTTTTTTCTGAAGGAAATACAATATCCTTATGATGTAGAAATGTTTGAGATGTAATTAATTACTTCCTTAGACAGGTATTGCCTGTGGCCCTCCAAAAAAAGGAAATAACTGCAACTCTTTTCTCAGTAAGAATTTAACCAAGTAATGTCACATGAAAAAACATTTTCTTTTATGTCTGTACCCTTAAAGCTCAGACATAACAAAAGAGTAAAGTGGGACCAACTTGCCAAGTAAACAAGCCTATCATATGCAGTTAAAGATTAAACATGGACCCTTTCCCATCAAAAGTAGTGAGTACCTGAGTGTGGAGTGGATAAAACAACTGTAGTATACAGTGTTGCTGACAGGAATGACTGTTACTGAAATTTATTCCCATAACGGAGGACAAAGTTTAACCCTCTAAAATGATTTAGGAGCTTCAGAAAATGGAAAAGCGTTGAGGACCACACTAAGTCTTCCTCCCAAATGGGAAGGACACAGTCCCACAGTGATGATCAGTAGGAAGGTGGTTAGAGATATGCAAACATAAACACGTCTTCTTTTATCCAATTAAGGATAGAAATTAATGGAGGATTCTGAAAAAAAGCTTCTAATAAGCATAGTCAAGGTAAGAAATCTAACTAGCGTTCAGGTGAAGCACAATAAGGATTACATGACATTGGATATCTATAAGAACAGAGACTATATTCCAAGGTACCCTCAAAATTTATGTTCCTCTGAAAAGGAACTCCAAAAAGAACATCTGACCAGCACCCCACAGTTTCATAGGCTTCAACATGTGCTCATCTTGCTAAGAATGCTAATGATAAGGCAGAAAACAGGCTGAGCTCTCCATGCTAACAAGATGATCTGACATTTTTTCTAAGCATAAAGGTTGACTTTACTACAGTAGTGCATCCTTACAAGGCAAAAAGTCAGTACTACAAGTGAGAAAACATGTTTCTTCAGGTGGACCACTGAAAATGCCCTGCTTTGTGATTCCAATTACAATTTGGTGCAGCTTCCTAATTTGCAGTAACTATGTGCATTTTCAGATCCAAGAATAGCATTTGGATCTATAGTTTAAGTGATAAAGTATCATAAAAATTTACGCTAACTAACAAGTTACTAGAAATTCTGCCATTACAGTCTGTAGTTTAAAAAAATCACTAATGCTCAGAGCTACTTAAAAAGTAAGTATTCTTGTGTTGCCATGGGCTAGACTTCATTATCTCAAACCAAAGATATTTAGAGATACCAATACTTAAGATTTACCTATAGATGCCAAGTGTGGCACTGTACAAAATTAAATCATTTTCATGGCACCAATGTGACAGAAAATATGCTAGGAAGGTAATAATAGCCCTCTGTGTTTGGGTCAAACATCTAATCCCTCAGTGTGGGGGGACTGAACATGCTTAAAAATTAATTTTTATAGACTCCTGTAACCTTGCTATCCCTGCTTAGAATCAGAAGTATTAAGTCACACAACGCTGTCTTTCTTACAGACTTGTATTCACAGGTAAATCAAGTGAACATATAATAACAGGATTTTGCTGGTCCTTTTTAAAGTATGCTTACATTTGGGCAGAGAGAAGAAAAAGTAACTACAATAAATTTTACCTTTAGGTGTTGGAATTGGTCTCTCAAGTCCATCTGCATGACCTAAAGGGTCATTTGAATCTGGAATTTCCATTTCACCTAGGGAAAAAAAAGAAGATTTTGTTGAATTGTGGTTCTGAGTTAATCTTTCTCTTAAACAGCATTACAACAGTGAGTTCAGCAAACTCATTCAGTCCAGACCCTGGTTCCAGAGTAGCACAGAGGAAATGCCTACTAACAAGGCCAGGATTTATCCATCGCAGATTAGAAAACTTTACAATAATTTACCTTGTGCACTTACCTTGTGCTTGGCAAATACGGGCAGCATTAAAAACTACTTTCCAGTTATTACAGAATAAAATTCACACAGTTTTACAAAGAACGTAAACATTTCCTGAAAGCAGTGCTGGCCCAGCAAATTAGAGCAGTACCTGATCTTTATTGACGATCTCAGTTATAAAATGGCATAAATCTGCTTTTGAAGTTATATTACAGTAATTCAGATTCTGTTTCCGGAGGTCAGACTCATCACCTATGCTGACTTTCTTATCCTATTCTCAGCCACGTCCCTAAAAGATATCTCCCAGAAATTAAAATAAAACTATCATTAGCCATGTGTTCCAAAGGGTGATGAAACAGACGGACATCTTTCTGTATGCCCTCATTGTTTGTGTCTAACAAGATAGTAACCATGTTTAGCCAGCAGTTGCTGCAGACAGCAGACAACACTTCCATGTTCCTTTGCTTTTGCAGGTCTTACAAAACCCTGACCGTTATAAAACACGGGTTCACCTGTCCACTCCCTCTTTTGAATATATGATGCTGTGAGGAACAGAGTTGAACTCATAAATCAGATAAAGCTATAGGGGTGCTTTTCCTAAAACAACTTCTCAAATGACATCCCCTATATTTTTTTATTTCCTAATTTACATTCGGTCATCCAAATTCCTTATTACTTGGGCGTATCACCAAGAGAGCATGCAAATATAAGGTCATCAGGATCCAGAGTGAAAGATCTGGGTTTTGTTGTAGATTTGTTAGGGGTGTACATGGTAACATTTTGGGTAAAACGAAACTAGGGAAAAGGCTCTCCCTCTTCCTTTTGTCCCCACTCCCTTTCCTTCAGACTAAACCCTACAACCCCACTCTGACTGCAAGTCACAGTGATGAAACAAAAGTAACCCCATCCCTAGCTTCCACTACATTATGAAAGGAGAATCGAGACTGTCATTATTTTTTATTTTTCCTTTATGCATTTACCCATTATTTGAGAACAGAAGATTTAGCTAACTTGCCTTTAAGTTTACCAGGTGAAACAGAAATCGGAGACATCCTCTGCCTCAGGCCGGGTCTGAAAGCATTTATTTTGTCACAGTACTGCCACCTTGTCACTACTTCATCTCTCCCTTCATCTCCCACTCCTTGAGGTTCCTAGCCTGGCAGTACTACTGATGGTACTTGAGTTGTGTGCTCATTCCCAGACACCCCAATCAGAGTGATGGTGAAGACAGTGCTGTACCCCTGGTAAGACACTCTCTTTCAAATTGGAACAGCTAAGGCTTGGGCAGACATCATCTTTTGCCACTCGCAGCACTGGCCAACAGAAATGATAGATAGCCTTCATCTGCAGACTGGAAGGAGAAATGGAAATGGGTGGCCAAGGTGGTGGCATCTTAAATTGCCATTGTAAATCCTGCCTCAGTGTGTCTTCACACCCCTGAGGGCATGGTGCAGACTCAGTGCCTGACTTTTTACTGTAGAGAAGTTTTGCTGATTTGTTTGATTCAATGCAAACTGACGAATGCATGATAGGGATATTTCTGTCAAATTTTAGCAGAGATACATCATGTCTCATTTTTACCCAGGGGCAGCAAGGCAAGTTCACCTCTGTTCCCTTGCTTCTGTTTGACCTCCTCTATGTCGCATAAGATGTTTGGAACAGGACAGCAACATTTACTGGCCACAAGGAAGAGAAATCCAAGATGAGACACTGGAGTAAAAGGAAGAGTAGGAAAAGCAACTGTTCCTTTAGTCCACATGCACCTGCACTTGGCTTATTCTGGTGATCATAATTTACCAGTATTCACAGGATGAAACATTATTTGTAGAAGCCCCTTCTTAGGGACACCTGGTTGCTTAACACTCGGACCTCCAAACTCCAAACTGGCGAAGATCTGAGTGGCACTTTTGGTTTAATACCGCGTGTTCAACTTTAAAATAGTTGTTTCCATTTCTTCAGTCATTTAGTGGGATTCACAACAGGAAAAAACATTGGAATCTCAGATAAATGAGCACAGAAATGTCTTCCTCTCTCTTTCCTCCTTCCCAGACCCATATCTCTTAATTTTTTAAAGCTTTTCAGAACAAAGATAGAAAGAAACAAAAGCACTTGCTGATTTGAAAATGTTTCAATAGTAGTTTTGTGGGATTCGCTCTTGTGCTTAATATGTTTATGTCTGGAAAAATCATTAATCTCCAGATGTGCTTTAGCAGAGAAAAATAAAAGACAATAGACAACACCTACCAGCAAAGTCTCCGTAACTGGGCAAAGTGGGTGCTTTGTAAATTATAAATACAAAACCAATCCATCACTTAAAACTTGCTTTTATGAAAGAAACATGTATATTTTCTGTAATCTGCAAAATTCCACTTTGACCACATTTCTTACGAATTCCAAGCTTTAACCCTAAAGTTTCTGTACTGCAACTTAAAACACCAAAAAGTCATTATCATGAAATATTAAGCTTTTTACACCACGAATGCTTCTGGATCAGATGACCAACAAGTCACTACAAGGAAATAAAACCTTTTCCTCTTGAGCTAAATGGAATTTAAAAAATCCTGCAGTCAAGAACTTCAAGGAAAAAGCTGTGTATTCCTGTTGAATATTATTCTCAGTGCTTTCTGATTTTACATTAATAACTTAGTACATTTTTCCTTCTAGGAGTAAAAACATGGTGTTTTCCTCAACAGATAATAATTCTTGTCATTTTTTCTTTAATTCTCTTCACTGTAGTGCAGATGCACCCTGATCATGTGCCATCACCAACTCTCTGCGGTCTTATTCTTGTTTGAAGACCTCTACACAACTGTGCTCCTGTCGACATCTGATTTTTAACTTACGCCCCTTTCCCCACTTTGTTTATTCAATATCTCAGTAAGAATATCCCATTTTGCTTTTCTTCTTCCTACTTTCTGTATCTGCTCCTGGCAGCATTTTTATGAGTTGTTCCACTGCCTGAAGGGGAGAAAAATCCATGAAGTAATTTTAGGTGTCCAACTTTCACTGTCAGTCTTGATCAGTAAGCAGCTACTGCTAGAAAAGATGTAATTGTTCATTAAACTGATTTTAGATGCAACAAAGATATTAGCTAGTCACATCTTTTTTCATGTCTATTACAAATAAAGCATTGTCATACAATGCTAAGAAAAAAGGTACACTTGCAAAACACAAAACTGGCAGAACAACAGCAACCCACAAAACAGTTGTTATTAAAAACTGATAAAAATACAAATGTTCAATATTTGAACCTTACATGTGATATTATCAACTCACACTGGCAAGAAGTATGCTAACTAGCATGCTACTACATAAATATGTAGCTAACTGAAGACAAAGCAATCACCACAGTGTCTGGAAAGTATCTCAATGAAGATATTCAAATTGGTGTACGAGAAATCCCCACAGCAGGCTGGACAGCTGTGCAGGTATGTACAGAAAACAACTGCACAGGCTTGTACAGTCCAATCTTTAAAGAGTTCCTGGCAGAGGGCTTTGGGTGGCCCAGATGTTCCTGGAACGGAGAAGACAAAAAACAAATGGCTAAAGGGTACACAGGCTATCAAACTCTCTTATTCAAGGCTACTACAGAAAGCGAAGCAGATAGGGAATTGGAGTAAAGACATACCTGATTGAGAATAATGGAGACAAACGGAAAGAGGTGCACATGGGGAAAGCTTATTCTTATTAAGATTTGTTCAGAACTGACCGATTACTGAGGACCAAGATCTTGGGCTCAGAATAGTTAGTTCCATCAAAATTGAGCTCAATTCTCAGAAGCAGTAAGAAAAGAAAATCCAGCCAGTATTGGGTATTTCTAGGAAAGGAATAAAGAGTAAAACTGAAAGCATCATTATGCTGCTGTGCAAATCTATGGCTTGCTCTCATACATTGGACATTGTGTGCTGTTGAGGTCCTCTCATCTCAAAAAGGATGCAGAAGAGTGGGAAGAGTTTCAGAGAAGGGCAGTGAGGATAATTAGTTACAAACCAGGTTTTGTACAGCTGCTAGGATTTGTCAGTCTGGGAAGGGGATGGCTGAGGTCTATGACAGTAGAGGTCTATGCAGTCATGAGAGTCTTAGAGAGGATGGACCAATCTCTCAGTAAAAGAAATGGCAGTATTAGCGAAAAACAACACAAAGCAATTTCAAAACAAAGCTAAAACAAGGTAAAGTTTTCTCAAACAAGTTGTAGTTAGGCTGTGCGCAGAATTCACATGGGCTACAGGTGAGACCAGGCAAGTTCATGAAGAAAAATCCATTCAGACCTGAGTAACTCATAGAAATCCTATGTGGGCAAGGAAGTCCCTCAGCTCAAAATGGCTGGAGGCTAGGTAAATAGCGAGCATAAATTAGTACTATGTACGACCAGACCTCTTCTTACACTTTTACTTCAACATCTCCTTTTTGCTGCCATCAGAGCCAAGACACAGGGCTGCACAGATCTCTCATCTGCTCTGGTATGGTTACTTTCATGTTTTTCACTTGTTCTCTGCTCAGACATTAAATGTCTCACGGCTTATTTCTGAACACCCCCTTCTTCAAATTACATTTGCACTGACAGTGTTAGGTAAAAAAGATCACCAGTGTCTGTCCTCCTTGCACACTGCATGAGCAGACAAGACCAACATAACCAGAACTCAGCCTGAATGCCAATTGCCAGTATGGGACAACGTATGTGCCAGATGTACTACATGTCAGATCCCCAGGAAAACTCTCTTCAGTGACCACGCAGTCAAGTAAAATGCAGGTGCTGTAAATAATACCTCTTTCAAACTGCTCACCCACACAAAAAGGATTTCTTAACTTTTCAGG